GGTTGACATGATGTCACCTCCCCCTCCCACTACCAGAGACAGTACCGTCTCTATTCTTCCGCTTCCGACTGTCTATTCTTCCGACTGATATATTGGCAGATGGTTTACTTGAGTCCGATAATCAGGATAGTATTGAAGTTCCACATCCCCGGGATGCATCAGGTGTTGAAGAGACATGCTTACCGTCTCTTCAGAATACGAATGTTGTTACTACTAGTCAGGAGCTGGGGGCTCATTCTCTCCTCTACATGCCCAACAATCTGTTGATTGTTGATCACACCGATCAGATGAGCCAGTCCTCCGATGAGGAATGACAAGTATACACATCTAGAAAGAAAAAGAAGAATGAAGGCACACCCGAGCTTAGGAACTTAATGGATGATACTCTAATAACTTCGGGTAATGGAACGATACTCAGCAATTTGTTAGTTGTCTCCGTTGATAGAACCAGAGGCAGAGGTAAGACCAAACTGGCTCGTGCCTAACAGCTTATTTCCTGCAATTTTTGTTTTTTTGTGTTTTATCTATGTTTCATCCTTTTAGGATACTAGTGTCTGATGTATCGTATGAGTAGGGCACTTTTTTTTGGGTCCTCTCATACAACCTCTATGTATCTTTTCAATTTCAACAAAATTAGCTCTTGTGTGTTTATATAAATATAAATATATATTTGTGTGCATACGCGGGTGCGTGCGCACGTGTGAGTAGAAAGTTTTGTGTAAGATTGTTGAAAAGAGCGCTTGAAGAGGCAAACAATAATTTTGAAATTTTTTAATAGAAATATTTATTGTTGGCATGCGTGCTTATTTTGTTGTCCTGTGAAAGTGATATACACTTTCAGGTTTGCAATTTTATTATTCCAAATAACTATTATATCTATGTCATGAATGGATAAAAATCTTTTAGGATGTGAATAGGAAAAGCATCGATAAATTTTGATTTCAAAATGGTAATGTTGCATACAAATTGATAACAATTTAATGCGGGCAGCCCTGGAAGAACCAGGAAAATAACAAAGAAGATGAAAAATAGTAAATAATAAGAAATAGCAATCTAATAAGCCTCATGCTTGAACTAAGAGATTGCCTCTATCATAATGGTTTCAGATTGAAACGTCCGCAAGTGTTAAGCTACCCCCGATTGAAACCAATTTTCACAAGGAAAATAAAATCAATCACAAATCCCTGAAAACAAGAGTTCTTAAGGATCAACAACAACATATTCTTGGCAAATAAACGTCATGACTCTCAAAATTAGTTGTCAAAAGAAAAGGAGCTTGGCTTCTTAAAAGCACACAGTCCACAATTTTTAACACACAGTCCACCATTACTAACGCTACATCATCGAAAATAAGTCACCTAATCCTTCAAATCCTTCAACAAAAAAGTAAAAAAAATCTTTCAACATAATATACACGTGTCCAAATTTTATGCTTCCATAACAACCTTGAAAGGAATTAATAGCAAGAGCTATCCTAAAAGAAATGAGACATAAGCCAACTGTCACTAGCATTGGCTGTTTATACACCTTTAAATATGCTAAATCAAGTTCATTGATCCAGGTAATGACATCAAGCATTATTACTTGGCATGAATTCAAACTTCAAGTTAAAATAATCCAGCCTCCTTAATACGTTCAAATTTCATAAGCAACGTTCTTTCAATTACGTTAAGAGCAAATTGATAGCTATCAAGAGTATGAGCAAAAGATCTAACCTCATAAATATTGTAACCTTTATGGCAATCAATCTCCACAAATAGAATAAGCACTAGAATTATACTTTTCAATAGGCTTTCAGTATGAATAATGGGTTCATTCCAGAGCAACCTTCCCCTTGCAAACTTTATCGTTGACAAAGTCATATTTAATTGCATATCTGTTTTGGAAATGCTATTATCATGTAAACATAAGTATGTTGACTGTATTTTAAAGTACAAGTGTAATCAAAGAGGGAATATCTACCACCAATATTATCATCTAAGAAAATAAATTACTTAGCTTTACCCCAATAATTTGGCTCAACTTTATAAGAATCCGTTTGGCATAGTTGCAGTTGCTTGAAGAAGCAACTGTGAAGTTGCTGAAGAAAAATCTGTTATTCAAAAAGTTACGATGGCTATTAAAAAAAAAATCAAAAAGTCTGACAGCAACTTTCTAGTAGCCATCGAATGTAGCCAAGTCTGGTGGGAAAACGTGATCCACCTTAAAATTATCTATTTTTAGTACATATTTTATGATCGTTTTATGAATATTTTTAGTGATATTGCACTTTAAAATAATGTATTTTGTATATTTTTTTGTTTCAGTTACATAAAATTGATATTTGGAGAAAATGAGGGAAAAATGAGCAAAAATGGTGCAATTCATATGGTGTCATATCGCCGCCCTCTAGCGCTATAGCGCCACAGACGGGTGCAGCGGGCACAATAGCATCAGTAACTTTCCTTCTAGAAGATTCATTGAATTTGGCCGAATTTTGAAGGGGTGTTTGAAGCAACCCTTGGTTATTTTCAGAGATCTATTAATAGAGACGAGAATTGGAAGAAAAATATGACTTTTTAGCAACATTTGAAGGCTTTAGGAAATCTCACTTTTGTGCTTAAGAGTGAGTTTAAGTGTGTTTTTGTGTTGTAAGAGTAAGAGTTTGGAAAATTCTTCAAGAAGATTTCAGAATTTGTGTTGGGGAGAAAACATAAAGTATTTTGTATTTGTGTTTAAGTTTTTGTTTCTAAAACTTTGATTTCAATACAAATTTGGTGTTTTTGTTTTATTCTCCAAGAAATCTGAGTAGTTCTCTTTCTTTCTACTTGCTCTTGGGAATTAATCTTGTGGAATGAGAATTATTTAAGAATTTCTTTTTACTTTTAAAAAGTGTGATGACATTTTCACTGATTTTTCATTGAGTTTACAAATTGGTCACTTGTGAGGTTAAAATCCATTGAGAAACAAAAATACCCGGGAGAGCTATGATTTCACCGAACTAGTGAGTGTCACACTTCATTCTGGGCAGAATAGTTGTGATCACCTAAGGGAGAGTGCAAATAGATATGGAGATAAATTTTGATATGCTTAGAATTGACGTTTCTAGTGTGACAGACTAGATTTTTTTTTCAATTCGGTTTAGAGTTTGCATCGTAAGAGTCCGTAGTAGAATATATAGAGAGGGTGCAGTGGGTAATCTGGAGGTGAGAGATCAGAATCTACTCAGCACTACTACACAAGCTGATGAAAAATTCTAAATTAGTCAATGTTCTTTGCTAACACCGAGAGGGGGTAAAGGATATGAATGTTCCTATTTGTCACAATACTTCATCATATTTTTAGTCATTCAAATCCTACATAGATTAATATCTCATTGCAAGGGAAAAAATTTTTATATATTATTCAAACTCGTTAAAATTACTTTTATTAAACTGTTAATCATAGTTATTTTTATCTATTTTAATTTAGTCTTAACCGTTACGATCATTTCGTTTTTATTTAATCTGCAATTAAATAGAATTTGTTTCTGCGTTTTGCAAGACAATTTAAATGAGTCCAACTTTCCTTATGGGATCGATACTAGGGTTTTTAAAGAAAATCATATATTACTTGGAACGATACGTACACCTATGTAGTACTTTTAGTATGAATATTTATTATTTATTTTTCATATCATTTCATTTATTCACACTAGCCGCTGAATATAATTTGGGTCAAGTTTTTAGCAATATTTTAGAGATTAAATATGCACGTGATTGTGGGTCGGGTCAAAATGCAGCTTTCAACTGCAGCATTTTTAGAACGCAAGTAAAACGCATTTTTGCCAAAAAAATTGAAGTGCGACACCATACTACCGCCCCAAACGCACCATAAATCTTTTTTTATTTTTCAATTATACTCGTTGACTACTGCATGAGGCATTAAACCAATTCTTCACACATAACAATATTATATGCACCAGATTATTCAATTTAAATATTTTAAATAAATGAAAAGATTTTGGATGTAACATATCTAAGCCAATTGTTAGCAAATGATATTTTCATTAACTTTTATTATTTTTTGGTTCAACTCAAACAGCTCAATCATTGACATTATCTAATAGTTAAGGCTTCTCATTTCGTTTAATGCGTCAAATCATATTCTCAATATCTTCTAGCGCCTAAATAAGATTTTCATTTGTGGCCAACCGATACAAAAACCATCCACCAACTGCTTCCTTGAAGCCTCACCATCTCCACCTATACCCAAATCACCACTACCATTTCCATCATTATTGGCCTCCACTAACTTACATTCAAAGTTATAACCTTTCTCTGTCATCGCGGCTTTCACCAATTTCTTCTTATGCCCATCTTTGACATCACCAACAGATCACCATGAGCAAAACTATACCCGCACCGGGCCTTTACAGTTCAAGCAGTAAAACTGCTTCGCATAACTCCATTTTTACACTCTTCTTGCCCAAAAAGTAAAGCAATATATTTTTAAGTTGATTATTTTCATCCTACCCTGCAAACCATAGAATGTGGCTAGTAATTATAAACCCACATGAGCATTCATTCCACTGCGTGTTTGTAATACAACTTCGAGAAATTTGTTCGTTTTCTGCAATTTTAAAGTACTGTTACAATACCAGATGGTAGTTAACAAACGCTAGCTGAATCTCGCAGAAGTTGAATGATTTATATAATTCCGCTTCACTCAGGCACTCAAATTAGTCCTACGACAACCCTAGTGTGATTGAAGAAACCAATAATACAACCAACAAAAACTAACAGTAGTTTGAACGGTTTAGCCAGCAGCTAACAATCAACCCACGAGAAATTGCAGCGTAAACAATGGCATCGCGTTGCCTCCTAAGGATATAGCAAGTTCAAATCCCCATGAGTAACACTTAAATTTGTCTGCACGCGTTGTCATTAAATCAAAAGGTCCATCGGATTCAAATCTAGGGAAAAGGGTATCAAAGCAAACCACAAACCGTGAATATCTTCTAACAAATATCCTAGGTTTACCTCCGTAGCTCCGCGGCGGGAGTTTGAGTGGCTGCGACCACGAGAAGACATGGCGAGCTCCATAAGGCCGCAAAATGCATCCGAGCCATCACCAAAATACCCGCAAGTATTGGATTGAGAGACTAGGCTCAATTCGCAAATTGCCAAGTATCTGGAAGCGTGGTAGCGGAGGAGTCCAGCTTGATTAAGCCAATCAAAATAATAAAAAAAATAATCTTTAAATGCGGTGATCTACAGTGTAGATCAGACATTGCATGCATCTTTGCATGCGGTGTCCGTATGAAATATTTTTTTTTTGTAGCAGAGGGGGCTGCGGGTAGGAAAGGAGAAGTTCAATTAGCTCAAGCCACGTGGAATCCGACCTCGCAGGTGAAAATAAGCGAAAAAAATAAACTTTAGCGTTCGATCCAGCCCGAAAAACAATCTCATCAATTTCCCGACAGCTTTCATAAGATTATTTCGCATCTGATAGAATCGCTACTATTTTATTATCAGCTGAAGAAATATTTCGCAGCTCTGAACGCATGCAGCTAGGGTTTTTTGAAGAAATATTTTTTTTTCTGGTATGTGTTTTGCTTCGAAGAACTTCTACATTATAAATTAATCCTAAATTTTATTTTTTCTTATATGAGTTATTAATACATATAAGTTATGACATCTAAATAAATTGTTTTTGTTTTATAACACACTAGTAACAAACTAATAACACACTAATAACTCATAATAACATACAATAACACACTAATAACTCATAATAACATACTAATAACGCATAATAACACACATAATAACACAATTATACATTTCCCTCGTCTGCGGGCTAGGGAAGTGTTATATGGCGGTTGTATAACACGTTGGGTGACGTTATAACCTGTAGTATAACACGCAGAGAATATTCCCCACGTGTTATACAGCGGGCTAGGGGAGTGTTATAGGGCGTTGTATAACATGTGGGGCGCCATTATAACCCGTGGTATAACACGCAAGGAATATTCCTCATGTGTTATATCGCGGGCTAGGGAGTGTATACTTATGTTATTAGTATGTTATTATGTGTTATTAATGTGTTATTATGAATCATTTGTGTTATTAGTCTGTTATTATGTATTATTATGAGTTATTAGTGTGTTATTAGTTTGTTATTAGTGTGTTATAAAACAAAAATAATTTATTTAGATGTCATAACTTATATTTATTAATTAATTATATAAAAATGATAAAATTTAGGACAGATGTATAATTGAAAAGTCCATCGAAACCAAACACAAACCCAAAGAAATATTTCTTCAAAAAATCCGGGTTGCATGCGTCCAGAGCTGCGAAAGATTTCTTCAACTGACAATAGAACACTAGCGACTCCATCGGGTGCAAAATAATTTATGAAAGTGGCGAGAAATTGATCGGGTTGTGTTTCAGGTCGGGTTGCGCACGAAGTTTTTTTTTTATTTTTCCTATTTTCAGCTGTGGAGCCGAGATTCCGCGTGGTTTCTGTTAATTGAACTCCGCAGGCAACTGTACTTGCGGAATCCTGAGGTAATATTTTCTGGTAGGAAAGTGCCGATAAGTTCGGATTAGTGTATTGTGGTCACATTAGAAGTAGAAAGTATATTACTTTGTGGTAGGATGGCAGGATCTATTTGGGTGATATTGTGGTGAATATCATTATAATAATGTCAAATTTATAATTATCTTGTCGGTGCATAATATTTCTTCTTTGAAAGGTTAAATTTCTTCCTTAAAAGGTGAAATGAAGTGATACTATATAAATCAACAAAATAAGTAAGTGTATTGATAAATATAAATGCATTATCATGATTCAAAATCAATATCTATAGATTCTATATGAGGTAAAAAGGTAAACTAAGTAAGTTTATTTTCTAAAAAGACTCGGCATTAACATCCAATATAAATCTATTATAGTTTTTTCTTTTAATCTAGACATATTTCAAATATCTTGGTAAGCTTGAAGTACTATAATCTTTTTTTTATTATTATTGAATTTAATATTCCATTCTAATTATATCTTCTTCTAATTCAATATCTTTTTAATTTGTTATGTCTAAAAGTGATTGTACTTTCTATAATTGAAGATCTCATATTGAATACTCTAAAAGCAATATTGTAGGATAATGTCCCATTAAAATTCTTTCAGTTGACTTGTTATTTTGCTTTTTCCCATATATATTTTACCCATTTTTAGTATGAATCATTTGCTTCCAATTACATCAAAATAACAAATGTTTGGTTTATTTATTTTGCATTTTTCATTAGGTATTTTCTTAATGATTGATTAGATATTCACTCTTTTTAATAAATAATATGTATGATTCACCACTAATCAAAACTATTTAGGTAATATGTACTCAATAAGTAGAGATATAGCTACATCTAACATTTTTGTATTTTCTTAGTTACTTTATAACACCATTCTAGTAATGTGTTATGAAGGTGGAAAAATAATGTCTTATATCCTACTTCTTATAGGAAATCTTAAAGTTTTCATTCATAAATTTTCCTATATGAAAACTCTAAACTTATGTTCACAATAAGCTTTTTACTTTATCAAAACTAATCTAATAAAATTAATAAATTCTCTTAGAGCGTCACCCTTATTATCCAAAAATATAATTCAGGTATAATTAGAAAAGTCATCTATAACGATAAATAGCTTCTCTTATCATTTAGATTGTTGAGGCTAATGATTTTGAATAAATATAAAGAATTTCTAGTGGCCAACATATAGATAACATCTTCAAGATGCAAAAAGTTGACCTAGTTTATTTTTTTTGGTTAAAATGCCTCACGTAAACTAATAAGATGTTTCTTTTATTAGATTTTATTTTAGTGTTTGCATAATTACATTGCATAGCATTATATGTGATGATAAAGGTTCGTCGATATTGAATATGATAAGTGAACTGAAGTACTATTAAAATGTGTGAATTTAATTAACTTTTTATATTTTCTAAACCAATTAATTTATTTGAGGCAAGAATTTTTACAAGCGAATATTCCAATGAAGATAGAGAATTTTAAGGTAGTAACATAACACTATATCTACACCTCTGTCGTGTTATATGGAATAAACAAAATTAAGGAAATCTCGAGCATAGTACTCCAACGATGTATTTTTAATGATGATGCGCTAGATGAATGGGGTCTCGTGTCATTATAACGACATCACGATACTAAAGATGGTTAAATTTGACCCAATAACTTGAGAGCTTAACACCGTAATACTAACACTTTGCACTACAATGCAAGAATATTGGTAAAAGACAGAGTGTGACACGTTAGCGCCACAATTTGGAGCGCCAAAGTGCTATAGTACAACATCATAGTATTAACACTAGTGCCTCAACACTAATAAAGGGAAATCATAGTGTTACAACCCCAATCAATCAGTTTAGATTTATTTTGGAATGAACTTAGAAGTTACCTGATAGTTTTTTGAGAAGTTATGAAGTGTCGAACATGTGTAGTAGATTAATAGAATTTTAGTAGAGTATTGTGTTGTCCATGTAAAGTATGGAGAGTGAAGTGTAAATGTGTTTGTGAGTGTACAACAAAGAAGAGAGCTTTGTTGACCTCACTTTTGGTTGAGGTCTAGAAAACTTCTTTAGTAGCCTAGGTCTAGCCATAGGACTTTCCTATTGACTAGTCTTAGAAAATTAGAAAAGGTACCCACACCATTAGAAATTCAAAACTCTTCTTTTTACTCAACTTGAAATTCCACATAATGATCTTAACCTCTAGCATTTAGTAGGTAAGATCATTATAAGAGAATTCAAGAAGAGTCCTTATAGGATTACTTGGCTTTAGGATTGACCCTGGGTGTTGACTTGAAACTAGGGTACACCATATCTTCACAATACATTAATCCATGGTTCATTTAGAACAGATATCTATCCAATTCTATGTGAAATGCCTAA